GATATCTTTTCCTAAGCCATTTTAATACTGCTGCCCAGCCTCCACTCTCCAGTCTGATAGAATCTAACAGCATCTCTGCATCCTTGTGAGTGACAAATTATTTTCCACAATACAACCCCTTTCTCCCACCTGAAATGTCACAAACCTCTCACTGCTCTGTTGTTACTTTCATGGAAAGTGTTTGGACAAGCTACATTCCTTAGTTTCACCAGTACCAACCTTCATGACTAAGACCTGCCATGCTACGCACATTGTAATGAACCACCCTTATTTCCTTCATGTCCCATTGGTGAGATGCAACTTCAGTCAGGCAGTTTTTCTCACAAACTGCTGCTCTATGGAACTGACTCCCAAGAAGATGTTTTTCCGATTATTACAATCTTAAGTCTAGAGCTGTTATCTTCCCCACATATCCATATAAACTGTGCCTCTTACTCTGTAACCCTCTGCCTTGAGTGTCTCCCGAGCCTTGTAGGGTGAATATTACTGTAAAAAAAAAAAAAAAAAAAAAACATAACCCCTGCTCTTTTTATCAAATCTCTTTAGCTTTGGATGTACATCTGCCAAGGAGAGAAAAAACATAATAGCCCAACGAGATGGTTGTTTAAATTACATCTTATAATTTTATCCCACAGACCTAAAGGCTTCCCACTTAAGTCCTACAGCAATGAGAGTGGAGCAATAAAGGCAAATGGTAATGATAACATTAGCTATTTTCTTATAATGAAACATTCAGCATTTCATTTAGATTCACTGCTAGGTGAAATTTATAAAATCTCTCTCTTAAAACCATTTTTCAGGAAAATAATTTTTACAGGTCCAGTTGCTCTTAATGTACTTTTCAGTATTGATAGGAGTCTGTTTCCTTGCTTGCTTTTTGTTTAGGGTAGAGTGGAATGTCAGCATCTTGATTATGTCATTATTCTCACTACATGTGATATCCTTTTTGTTTTGCTACTGTTGAAAGTCCTCAGTTTCTTTGTTTGTGATTCAACAGCACCAGTCTGCAAGGTTTGACGAAGGATGGTCCTCACTGACACGCACATGCTCAAAGTCATTTTTGCTCATCAATCTGAGAAAGCAGTAGCATATAGCCAATAGTTTAGATATTTCAAAATGAGTTTGATGCTATGCATTGCATCCACATGAAAGTCACAATCTGATGAAGCTATTTAAGAACATTATCATCATTTTTAAGTTAATGTTTTGGTTTTGTAACAGCTTGTGGCATTGGGTGAAACTACCCCTTGCACAACTTATTCTATGCTCAATTTACCTATCTCCTATGCTAATACACCAAGGTATTTGAAGTTTTTATTATTTACTAATTCCACATCTTGGATTTTTATTAAGGATTCAGGGTACATACCATCACTGCTTTCATTCCAATTTTAGGTCATTGTTCCTAGTTTGGAAAAGCTTATCTGGAGTCTTACTTGGTAGGAGATGTTGATTTTTTTGTTAAAGATCTTTCTTGTCCCAACTATAAATACCTATTTTATAAGCATAGCTCCCCTCATCCTCAGGACAGAAAGCATGAAAACTGTTTCCTGTTAGTAGATCCATTTAGAATATGATATAGAATGTATTAGCGATCAGTGGCCATCTTTTCACAACTGTACTTGTATATGTGCAGGGCATAGTCTAGGAAGAGATTAAATAAATTGGGTCTCTCATTTCCTCCTTGTCATATACCAGATGGCATGTCTCAGTATTGGGGGTCATTGCCTGACATGGAAGATAACGTTAGTAACGACAGACTCAATTTGACATGCAAACCATTATTTCAGGAGAAAGTTAAAAGACATGGATGCCCCACCCCTGTTCAAAATATTAGCACTTCATAAGCTATATTCTATGCTAGAAGGACATAAAAGGTATTAATCACACTAGGGATTTTCATTTTATTGATTGGGTGTCTGCCAATGAAGAGAGATGGAAAACTCAGCAGCACTGAGAATTAAATACTGGATCATGATGAGCGGAGCAAAAATAAGACTTCCATATGGGAACACCACATATACAGGATGAACACAGAGACACTGGAAACACAAGCAAGAATGAATGACTTTTAAACAATGCTGGGTAGCACAAAAAATTCTTGGTAATGTACAGCAATGCCATTTTGCAGTCAACATACTGACAAGATCTGCTTCTTTCCAGAAAATGTGCTTGCTTTTATGGAGCCTAAAACTTAGGTAGCTAACTAGCAAAGGAAACATTTGCTCAGCTCACCATCATGATTATCTTATGGGGAAGCTTATAAACACTTTCTTTCATTATAACCAGACATTCTGGGGTTCACACTAGCTTCGTTCTGGTAGGGTAGCTATGTGTTGTCTTTCTGCAGAGACAACACAACAAACATCTCTTTGACCGACAGGGATAGTAGTGATTGGCTGCATTTCATTTCTGCTACAGTGTCTCAGTGTAGATTGTTATATAGAATATTATCTTGACCACTACAAGTTAAACCTACTTTACAAACTAAAATCAAAATGGACCTCAGAAAAATGCACAGATTTGATGACATCTAATAAAATATTAGAGCAGTCTTTTGGGAAATATTTACAATCCCAAGTAGAAAACATTAATATTCTGAAAGACTAATCTCCACTAAACATATAATATTTAATAGCCTTGAAATCTATTAAAAAAAAAAATTTAAAAGGAAAAAAAAAGTCAAATTTGTTTTGAATAAAACTATTAAATACTTAAGAAATATTATAACCAAAGAAATCAAACAGGCTACATAGGAAATTCATTTTGAAAAATAGGCACATCCATACATCTACAAATGAAAACCTGTTCAATCTGAACACAAAGACTATAATACAACTGTTTAGAAAATCTTCCATTTACAGATACTATTGTTCTAGTTGTTGACAGACTCCATGACATTCTACTTTACAAAAGCCAGAGAACTGTTCAGTTTGGTAAAAGACTGTAATCCACAAGTTCACAACTCTACATCAGCCTGCATCTAGACAGTATAACTATCAACCTTCCATTTCCAATGACTTGATTGAACTTGAAACAGTTCAGGTTGGACATGTCAAATCCTCAGATGCCAAAATAGATCAAACTTTTGTTAACAATGCCTCTCATAGGATATACAAACTTGTCTCAAGCAATAAGAAAAATGCAAAAGTAAAAGTCTACAAATCTATTGTACTTAATAATCACCTTTGTGGCAATTAATCCTGGATTGTCTCACAGAATCACCTATACCCCTTCAAACACTTGCTTCTACCTCATTTTTAATGGAGTCACTTACAAATCATCAAGATTTTTAATGCATTAAACAGTGACAATATGCTGTAAAGATTCATCTATACTAGACAGAACACATGTCGAGGATAGGATACCATCATCTACAAAAGACTATACTGTACATTGAACTGTCCTCCAGCTGACCAGAGGGATTGTTATGGAAGGAATAAAAAGCCATTCTATAAAAAAAAAAAAAAAAAAAAAAAAAAAAAAAACAGCTGACAAGGAGAGATGGCAAGAAAGTCTTCTAAGTAATCTTTACCTCACACCAAAAAAACTGGAAAAAAAAAATACACAGCAGAATAAAAACTAGATGTTGGTTCCAATCTACATTTTGGAAGAACTGCAAAATACTTCCTCTCCCTAATTAATGGCCAAAACTCCACAAATGCATGCTGGGATTTCTTCTTAGCAAAGAAGATAGACCACTTCTTGGTCTTATCTGACTCAGTCCTGGTGTGTCTTGTCTTGAAGTCAGAATGCTACATTCATTCATCTGAATTTGCTCTTGTGCATCACACTAATTTTTACTGTTGCTTTGTGTTTACTGTTAATTTGCCTTGTAGATATTCTTTGCTTGCTTTATATTATTTTTGCCCTGTCATTTTGTTTTCTTTTTATTGTCAACTTTGTCAATTCTGTTTGTTGCACAGTTCTGCCACTTACATTTTAACCATGGTCATTTACTCTACACTACAGTTAACCTGAGTTCCCAAACTTTAGCCTTTTTGGTAGAACTTGCTGACTCATTATTGACATTGTCTGTCATCATTAGGTCTTTAACAAAAATAGAACAACACCTTCCTAAATCTTCATTTGTGAACCCAAGACAAATGTTATTAGTTTTTCTTTGAAATATTATACTTCAAAGAGAAACTTATAACAATTGCAATTATTGTATCACTTTTACTTATATTGGGGAAATATTCTTTTTAATATTTCAGTTACTTAAAAAATAATATTGCACAGAAGATACAAAAAAAATTGTCACAAGATCTGAAACTAAACTAACATTAATAATCACACTAAATTGAAGAAAAGCAAGTCTTGGTGAAGCACATAATATGCAGCTAAAGAAAGGATTGTCTCCATTGACTCAATGATCCTGACTATGGTAGACTCCTTTATAACACAAGCTTCTGTGTATTGTAACAACAACCATTAAATTCAACATTTTGTATGTTCCAATAGAAAGAAACCTTCATTTGTCAGTGGCACAAGGACAAAAAAAATCCTTTTATACTGATTTTTCTATATAGAGTATTAAATTGTATAAGACTCTCCAATTTGTAATTTTAGGATATACTTGGGCAAAGTAAAGCCATTGCATTTCTCTTAGCACATAAAGATAGTTGAATGATTGCATTCTAAAACGAATATTAATTTAAATTCCTTGAGAATAAATCTGAAGATTTGCATGGTACAGCAAATTAGTCAAAAATTAAACAATAAAAACAGTCATTATATTGACCATCCATATCATTATTTAGCTTGAATATTTTCAAGAAAAATATTGTTTCTTTTAGTAATATGATAGTATTTCAACATTATTTTATAAAAGAGATAAGTTTATTGCATAGTAATTCTTAAACTTAGTAATTTAGTCAAAGATATTTTAACTTTTAATCAAATTAATGAAAAAGCTAAGAATAATGCTATAGAAATGATTAGTCTGTTAATGTCTATAAAATGAGATTTATTTTTTTGAGCATGAATAGAATACCAACCAGAGACAAAGAATTCCAGATCTGTGTGTAGAGCTTTTGCTGCAAAGAAATAGTATTCATAGAATGAGGAATAAACAGATAAGACGGGCATTTAATAGAGCAAATTAAAATAAATATATAAAACAATGACAGAAGGTGATAATGAAAAACCAATTTCATCAGGACTAACGGTATTTACTTAATAACTGAATAATTGGTGACTCTTCCACAAAAGAGATGGAAAACATCTGGAAAGAGATTCTTCACTTCCTTATAATTATCCAAATTATTTAAAAGGTTTATTGAATTCAGACTATAATTTATCATTTTATGACATTTATCACACATATATATATATATATATATATATATATATATATATATATATATATATATATGTGCACACACAGGATGTATTTAGGCAGTAGTTTTTCATTGCTACAACTTTGGTTAAAGACCTGAAACAGTTCTTTGTTAAGGATATTTTCTATTTATTTTTCTATATTTCATAGCATTTTTCTGGTTTCCAGTACAAATTTAAGTTGATCAAAGTTTGTGTACTTTCAGTTTCCATAAGTACTCATCAAAGACTTTTGTTTTGTTGGGAGCAATGTCAGTTTCATCATTTTCAAAATATGTCTTCACATCTCATGTCACTTTTTTTAAGGTGTTATATCTTTAAAAGACATTGTATGTCATCAGAAAGGACTTTCAACATATATATATATATATATATATATATATATATAAATAAATAAAATCACCCACTATTAGCCTGAAATATAGGTTTGTATATTATGTCTTATATATATATATATATATATATTAGGTTTGCTGAAAAGTTCTTGGCTTAACCAAGAAGGAATTCCCAAAATATTTGATTATTTAGATTTTAGGGTTTAGCAGATAACTTTTCTCTGTGTGTGTGTATATATATATATATATATATGTGTATGAAATCAGTGAAGCAAATTCAAGTTTCACCTGAGACAGACTGTGCATTATTGACTATTGCTCTAGGGAAAGGCATGAATACAGTTCACCTCAAACCTATGGATAAAGTAACAGAACACTCAGACCACTTCAACCTCAACAAGGCTTTCTATCTTGGAAATCTGGATGCCATCCCAACCATGTAAAAATCAACTTGCTACTGAAACTGCAAGCGGACCATTTGGCACGGTTGGAGCCTTATGCTAAAAATTTCTCCTGCAGTAATCAAGGCTAAAGGAGGATATTTTGCTGAGAGCAAAATTTAATCATAAAATGCATTTTTATTTTTTGCCATAATAAAAAAAATTTCTATAAAAAAAAAAAAAAAAAAAAAAAATCATATCTCACTTTTTTTCTTAAACATTTATAATAATTTTCTCTTATTTAAAGTATAAAATAACTACATGTTGGACCAATTTAAAAAATTAACAGGGTTTCCTCACTTTTGAACTGTAGTGTGTGTGAGTATATATATATATATATATATATATATATATATATATATATATATATGGCATAAAAAAAACAACTGATCAAATTGAGATCATTTAACTTTTATCATGAGAGAAAGTGTAACAGATGAGAAAATAGCTTTGTATTACTACATGAAGTAAAAGAAATCTATTTTCCTGCAAAGAAACTAAATTCTATGTTATTCCTAAAATAAGCTTAAACCTTATTCTTAAAAACAATTTCCCAAGTAAGCTAAAGACCACTTAATTATGCATAAAAATAGTCATATGCCACGTTATCTCGAAGTGAGACCAAACTCTATCAATATTTCTATGTCATCTAAGTGAGATAATACCTACTCGTATATAGGACAAATTTCTAGTTCCACGAATTATTCTTGATGCTGCATCCCTTCAGTAGATGGGCAATATTGGCTTTCCAAAACATCATATACCTTGTGCTTCTTAGCAGTTGTTTTCCCTTTGATAAAGTTTCCACCTCTTGTTCTGCCATCTACTTACACAAGCTAGGTTACATTCCTTGATCTTTTGCCCTCAATATGATCTGTGAGAGTTTTCTAAACTCTTCTTCCTCATTATGTGTTCAAGGAATTTCAGGTACTTTTACCTGATTCTGAGCATGTTCTTTTTGTTGTCATTTTCTTATGTCCTTATTGCTTACTCACACCATCCATGGAATTTTCAGTATCATAGAACTACATTTTTGTTGCCTCCAGTTTTTTCCCTCATCTGTGGAGAAATTGACCAGCATTCATTGCCATATAAGAGGATTGATACCACAGAGTAATCCAGCACTCTTTTCTTTGTTTCTAACAATATCTTCCTGTTTTTCACCTCCTTGCATAGCTTTAGAAATGCCTCTTTTGCTAGTCCAATTCATTTACAGATTTCAGTTTCACATTATTTAAAAAAAAAAAAAATCATTAAAACACACTAATTATGCAACCTTTAGATTTAACCTAATCTCTTGTTCTCTCTATAAGACACTAAATGTCTCTTTTTAACCTCTGAAGGAGTTAAAACTAAAATTAATTACCCATGAATTAAACAACCCACAAAAGGATATGATTCAGGGATTATGGCTGATGACAACTTCACTTTAAAGAAATTAGAGATACTATTCTAATTAGTGATGTATTTTTAAAAACTACAGAATGCTTGACTGGGACACAAAAGAAACCCTTATAATTCCAGCTAAAATAAAAAGGAATGTGAAGCAGTTATCACAGTGTTTCCTCATTTGTGAAATAATCACCAATAATTTTCCATAGCAAAATAAGTAAAGTAAATCAAAAATTGAAAATATTTTGTGTGTAAAATGTTTTTTTAGGCATGCCTTAAACCTAATGCCCACTATATTTGAATACCTTTTCACCAATATCATATACTAGTTTTTACAGTCAGAATGCCATGTTTGCCCTACTTTCCATCTAATGGTAATACACTGTAAGAAAATATGAAACGATTAAAGCAGTCAATCTTCACTACATTCAAAATACACAAAGTATAGGCATAAAGAACGTCAATATTTTTTTAAAAAGAAAGTCAGACTTAAGTAGCAAAAACTAGAATTGTTACTTAGATTAAACTGAGAAGCTTGTAGCTTTTTACAAATATGTGTGTGTATATGTCTGATTGAATAAATTACAGACATTATGTCTGCTGATTTTTAATAAAATCTGTTCATACTCACGAATAACCTTCCGTGCATTGATGTTAAAGGATGAGATAAATGTGCTATAGCTGTTTAAATTTCTTTTATTTTCATTTCCCAAGTACTTTCTATCTTTTTCCAAGATTATCGTCAGGGGTGCAAGTGGTACAAAACTATATGCTGTGCATTAGATAAACGTTTTGTACCACTTGCACCTGAAGATGATCTTGGAAAAAGACTGAAAGTACTTGGGAAATGAAAATAAAAGAAATTTAAACAGCAAAATCACATTTCTCTCATCCTTTAACATCAATACACAGAAGGCTATTTGTGAGTATGAATGGATTTTGTTAAAAATTAGCAAACATAATGTTGGTAATTTATTCAATCAGACATGTCTAAAAGAGAATTTGCTGCCTAAATACACACACACATATATATATATATATATATATATATATATATATATATATATATATTCAGACTAGTATCTCATCTTCATTATTATCACCAATAATTTTTGTCTGAAATTCTGGGTTACATTCAGGCTAATGTCTCTTTCTTTTGATATCCTCATCTTTTTTATAATAACAAAAATTAGGTTAATCCAAATGTAAATAGAAATAACTCCTTATGATAGAAATTCAAACATATAACACACACACATATATATATATATATATATATATATATATATATATATATATGTATGTATGTATGTGTGTGTGTGCACACACTTTATGCTGCAGTAGGAAACATATTTTTAAAGAATAGATTTTATTTTTTTATCTGACATATTTTTATTACTTCAAAAGTTATTTTTAGTAGATACCCTCCATGGAATACATTTTCTTTATCAAGATTTCTCGAGTACATAAGGGTAATTACATATCAAATCATCCAGACCATGACACTCTTACTTCACAGATTTTCTTAAAATGTTTAACCAATGGTAGGTATCATTAAAACAAGACAATCCTGAAAATTTGAGCCTCTAAGTCCAAGCAGTTCAGAAAATATACCATTTTTAAGATTTCATGTGAAATGTGATTCGCTAAAAAACCACAGCATTACAAAATCCCTTTTTCTTCAATAAAATTCCATCCAGACATGCTAGAGCCATGAAATTTTGCACAGGAAAGTTTTTGAGGGTGATGAATCCAAAAACAACACAAAATACACCTAAAAATCAACCATTTTTGAGCTATACAACAATATGGGTAAATTTTGGAGGGGAGCAAAGAGTAGTTTTTTTTTGGGGGAATGCAGGCTAGTAGATGAAATACTGTTTAAAATAACTAGAGCATCAAATATAAGTATCCACTAAAAATAAAATTTGAAGTTATATGAATGTATGTAAATTACAATTCACAACCTTTCATTTCTTTCTCTTAACATGTATATGTGGTTTAACACAGAAGAAAGAAATAGTGGAATTCAGACAGATGAGAAGAAAGGAATCACCTTTGACAGTTGGTCATTTTATCATTTTCTGCAATTCAAAATCATTTTATGAAGCCATTATCAATAATGTTCACCAAGTAATTAATTCATGCACCTGGATTGCTGAAAATATTTACTCTAAATTGATCTTTATAGCCGGCTATCAGATTTAAAGTCAGAATAAGTTATGGAAAAGATCAATGTTTTGATCTATGCCTCTTTAGAAGCAGCTGCTTCACTTATATGATTACAAAACATCATGTAGCATAAAATTAAACTTATAAATGATGAAAGTGTGGGAAAAGATGGAAAAAAAAAGATGCATACAATTAATTGTGCTTATAGAATAGATGATTATGACACAGATTATTTATCATTTTTGTGAGAGGGAGACTTCTTTGTTGTAGCCAAGAACTTTTCCGAAATGTGTGTGTGTGTGTGTGTGTGTAGGAACCTCCACAAAAAAAATGTGATACCCAAGGTTTAAAATGAATTTTTAAAAAGGGAAATTTTTTCATTCTTGAAGCTTTCATTTTAGTTTTAATTTCAAACTAATAGATTAAATTTAATATTTCCAATAAGCAAAATATTTTGCTGTGTTTCAAAAACTAATTTAAATTGATTGGAATGAGTCCTGAAAATTTTATTAAAATCCTTACATTTGCCTTGATAAAGTCCATAAGAGGATGAAACATGTCAGCTAAGTTTTCCTTTCATCTTTCTTATACATTATATAAATATACATATACGTACATTTCCGTATGCAACTTAAATTTCACTAGTTTTCCAACTCATCAAGCACAAAGTATATCTTATGTTTTTATAAAAATACACAGATGTCACATTTGATGATTATTTATGTGCTTGCCTGTGTATGCACGCCAACATGCATGTATACAGTTGCTTATATCTGGTCGTTTGATTTATCTAACTCTATACATGTGTGTGTGAGAAAACTGAACATGGTACACCAACACATCTCTCCATTTCAATTTAACTTTTACAAATCATAGAACTGTGAAAACCAGTAAAGTTACTCAAAATATTCTTAAAGACTCCAGTTGCATTTTCAACTTTATCCTACACATTTTTACCTGTGTGGGATATATACATATATAAAGATTAATACAAATAAAATTTGTCACTTTGTTAATTGATGTTATATTCAGTACCTCAATGAATTGATAAACTCTTTTTGCAGTTGTTCAGTTCAGTCTACTCATCAGGAGGTTTCAACAATCGTCTGCATGTGTTCTCATTTTTCATTATCTTCATACTAAGTTAGATTTAATTATGTGCAAGTTGGAATGCTCTTATTAGTGTGAGGTTTATTTTTTTCTTTTTGTGCCTACATGTGCATATGTCAAATGTTGTGGTTTTATATATATATAAATAATTTATTCACACCCACACAGACAAATGTATAAAAATTCTGCACATTTTTCTATTCAACTTTCTTACCCTATAAGCTTTTACTCTTATGTATAGGATAACTAACATCTATAATCTGTTCATTCACCTAAGAGGATTTATCAATTGTTAATATATCATAAGAACATTTAAAATGTAAAATTAGTTCCTATTTCAAGATGATAAATGAAGCAATTTCCAATTAGAAGTCATTCTATTACAAACTATCCCTGTATTATTTCAATAACCTTCATCTAAATCACATATACTTTTCAAACATTTAACTTTCAATTTCTACTTTAATCTTACATTCCTATTGACAAATACTTCAGCAGAAAATGCCATGAAAGCTTATAGACAGACTCAGCCCTAGCAAATACAAAAAAAAAATCAAAAGGAAATACTAAAAGAAACAATAAGAACTCTGTACATCTGTTTTACCTTAACATTTATCGAATAGCCGAGGGATATGATCTCATCCTGATTATCTCAAGACTCAACATGCCAAAGCCTACAGATTGTCAACAAGAATAAACTCAAAGGCGATGAAAATAATGCATGAAGCATCTCACTGTCACAGTGTTATAAGATCTCAAGATGGCGAGCTAATTTCATCAAAAACATTTAACAGATATTGCTCTTGGGATGTACACTCTACTTGCCTCAAGTCTTGGCTATGAAATAAAGCAATTTCCGGACATTCCAACAGAATATGTAATGAATTAAAGAGTCTACAGAGAATGATACAAGAGATAAAATTGAAGTCGAGAATAATGAAACAAAGCTTTTTGCAGACACATACCTTTCCTCTTACTTTCACCTAAGACTGAACATGACCAAAATCAATAATCCATTTCCCCCTTCTTAAAGAAGATTTATCTATTATTTGTGCAAATGTCCATAGACACCAATTTGGTGTTTGGATATTTTTCAGACAAATGCAAGATCCGTAAAGCAATAGATTAGTTTGTGTCTTCCATGTGCAGTGCTATTGCCAGGCTGAATCTTTTTATACTTTTCTCAGCAAAGCCTTTGCCTTTTTCTTTATGCATGAATGCAACATGTTATGAGCTCGCACACTGACAAGATTCCTTCTTTGTAAATCCATCATCTGCTTCATTCATGCAAGATGCCCTGGCTGTAGTCTAAGGATTAAGCTGATTTGAAAGACCAAAAATATGCTTACATCAATACAACAGCAACCTCAATCAATGGTGATAATCAACTCTTAATATTCTACAAAAACTTTAGTAGTAGTTCTGATAAAAAATAAATTTAAAATTGTAATAATATCAAGACCAATGGTATAAGCACAAAGCACTGAGATTTGGAAATTTAAATAGAATCCAATCCAGAAGATTAGATCTAGGCATAAAGAAAGGAAGATCTGTCAGAGAGTAGAAATCACTATTAATGAAAAGTGGAAATTAGAAAAATGTTTAAACATGTCAGAGAACTGAAAAAAGTTTTGAATATTAATGTAACAATTATATTCATCAGAATGAGAAAGCTTGGATTACAAAAACTCAGAATCTAAAGAAAATTTGAAACTATCTAAATATATACTAAAATCAGTAAGAATATCAGGTTTTATGTTATCAATGTACATAAGAACACAAGTCTGTTATATATAAAATTATTGTTTATTCAATTCTAGACTTTGTCAATCAATATCAGCAAGTGGGTGTGTGGTTTCAGGGATTTTTTTCTGAGTGTTGATTCTTCCACTAATATGAATGTGAGAAAAATTTTTTTATCTTATCTCTTTCGTGAGTGTATGTGGTGGTGGTGGTGGGGGGGTTATGTAGCTTCCTATCATCCAGTTGTCCCACATGCAAATACCCTAAGTACAGCTGAGTTGATCACTTGTTTACATGTCAGGGAAAGCCACTAACATTCTCTGGGAGGCACAAATCTGCACCTGGGGGCTAGAAGTCACCTTCCAGGTCAATCCACTTATGCACCTGGTATGTCTGGCACTCTAGTATAACAAAGAGTAGAAAGTCTATTTTGGCATCATCTGGGGTGAGCCCAGTATTAAACTGGGGTCCCCACAGATCAACTTCTCTAAAAACAAAGGTTCCTTATTTATATTAAATTTAATTCACATCATCTAGGATTTCCTTGCATGAATCACATATTACATCAATGAAAGTGCAGAGCATTGAGGAGACATGTAATTACTTGATCTCCAGATACCAAATACTACTGGTGCGAAAACTCATAGAAGAGTACTATAGTATTGAAAAAGACTTGCTGTCACTTGATCTCTAGTTTGTTGATTTGTTTTCTGCAACTTCTTTGCAGATTATTTAAAGTCAGAAAATAGTTTTAGATTATAAGAACTTTTTTTGATGATAATGGTTTAGTGATAAGAGCCTTACTAATTAACCCATAGATTGAGGGAAAAGAGATGAATTCATATTTTTCTCAAAGGGTATTTGCATGTAAGTGAATATGACAAACCCAGCAAGAATTGGAACTCGGCTTTCCAATTAACAATTTCAAGCCATTATCCAAGCTTACAGCACCTGGTATTCCCAAGTGGTCACCCATCTAGCTACTGCCCAGGCTTCACTTTGCTTAACTTCGGTGATCATAAGGGAAAATTTGATGTCTAGTACAAGCTCTCAGATAAAATGGTTGTAAAAGCTCATAATAATAATAATAATAAAGAAAATTCATATTAATATAATAATAAAGAAATTAAAAATTGAATTGTTTTTGGTTATATGAGTGTGATAACCATCAGTAACTCTGTCTCATTAAGCAAAAGAAATCTGAGGCTCCATCTAAAATGCTCTCTTGATGAATTGATGAAAGACAGTAATTATAATTCAAGAGCTAAAGATATTTTCTTCTAAGATTTGTGTCCTGTACTTATAACATTCTAAATAATGATTAATGTGGATGACTATGATCACTGCATCTAATCAGCAGTTAAGTTGGCATTATTAGTTTCTTATGGAAGTATGGAGTAGCCTAATTGTTAATGATACAGGAAACAGAATCTGAAAATGGAGTTTAACTTTCATTTGAGAATACTTGCATTCACTTTGCACTAATACCCTTGAAAAAGGCTTGAATTCATTTCTCCCTCAAGTATTGGGTAAATAACAGGGTAGACTTGGATCTCTAGTAAACAGTTTACGTGATGGTTTGGATTGTTTCCAAAAATTATTGCTGGTAATAATTTTTTTACAAAGTATTTCTGGTATTAAAACCTATTTTTACATTTTCATAATGTTTTGACCCCAATTTGGGGGTTAACTATTTATCCATAGCTAGGACCGTAACAGTTGCTACCACCCCGGGTCAGGATGGACCTGGAAACACCAGCAATTAAGAGGTTTTTCCATGCTCCTGAAAACCTCCTGAACAGAGGCCTTGCATTTGGATGTAGTTTATCACCTTACCCAGGATGTCAGTTTAGGTGATTGCTAAATCTGATTCCAAACCAAGAGAGAAAAACCGCTAAGGCAGATTGGTGACAAATTCTACCTCGTTTCTAGTATTTCTTTTAGCCCAAATGGATACTATAATTGTGACATCTCTTTAAACTACTAGGAAAAAAAAGCTTTTGAGCTTAAGAGAGTGGGATCATCCATGTGCAACAAATGTCCAATAGTAAAAGAAAAAAGAAAAACATTTATGCATAGATTGCTATGCAAAAGTCACCTATTCTGTACAACTACAGACACCATCAGAAGGATAAGTGACTAAGTTCTATAAATAAAAAATAAGACTAATTTGAGATTTCATTTTCTATATCTCATGTTTACAATACAAAATCATATACAATTTTTGGCAACGAAAGAAAAGCTAAATTTTAGTTTAGGCTATAACTGCCAATGAAGTAATTATTGACTTAATATACTAAAAACAAGACTGAAAACATAGAAACATTTTCAGCAAGACTAATTTAAAATGATAATCTGTGAAATCAACAGCTGAATATGAGACGATAAAACTGATCATTTTTAACCATCATGCCTGCAAAAAAAAAAAAAAAAAAAAAAAAAAAAAAAATGTTATTCCCTTGACACCACTATTACTGTATACACTTTTCCCTCCTTCAGCAATGTTTATTTACAACATTATAAAAATAGGTGGTATTTATTATTTACCTTATGTAAAGATTTATAATTTACAATTTTAAGAAATAAATTTGAAAAGTAATCATTTTATTCAAAAATTTATAATAAATTACAAAATTATTAAAATCTCCAATGCAATATTTATTATTTACCATTGTATAAATAACTATGAAAACAATGTTTTTATTCATAATTTTATAAAAATATCTATGAAGTATTGGGCAAGAAAATTTGAATGAACATAATTTTCTGGATATATTTTCTTCTCAGATTGTTTTATATCTCAGATTACTTCTTGTTTTAATCTACCAATTCTTATAAATTCATGAATAAAAAAAAATTATTTTCATACTTATTTCTTTATAAAATAGAAAATAATAAATATTTAATCATTATTCATTCACATATTTTTTTAAATGTTGAAAATATTAAATTGTTCATGTAAATAAGCAATCTAATAAATAAATGGTGTTTAATTATTAAATAATAATGTTTAATAATATTTTTGTCAATTCTGAAGAATAAAGAAAATATATAAATCCACTTTCCTATTTTGAGGTTTTCTTTAACATTCTGTATGTGATTTTATTTGCTGTGCAGAAAGTTTATCCTGCTACTGAAGCTGATTGATCCCTGAATTTGAATTTGTTTGAATTTCATAATTGTGTTGTCATATCCTGCTATAGCAACAGAAAACACCTTTGAGTGAAATTAACAATAAGGATACTGCAATTGAGAGGCCTTGAAAAAGAATACAGTGGAAAGGGAAGTAATATTAATAATGCAGAGTGCTAAAGAGTTAAATTCAAATCATTGCTTTTTAAAACAGTAAACATTGCCAAGTTAAAGAAAAGTGTATACAGCAATAGCAATGCCAAGGGAATACATATCTTTTTGGCAGATTGTTTTTGCAGGCACAAAGGTTAAACATTGCCAAATCTTTAATATCAAAGATATTCCAATCTATACAGTCCTATTACTGTAATGTTAAAGTTCAAACCTAAGAAACAATAAATCTGTTTTCAAATTCAGCAATTTAGTATAGCCACAAGCTGGTTTGAAATATTTCAAGATTACATGACGTCAGATGATTACACTCATATTTCGGATTCATGTTCTTAACAAAGGCTAATTTCAAACAGAATGACATGATACCATCAAAATATCAAATCCGATCAAAGACTATTTTCCTGAAAATAAGAGACAGATATTCTGGTCAATGTTTTTAAGCTCAAAAGTCATCATTCAGAATATAAATAAAAATTCCCAGAATAAGGAAGAAAAAAATAAAATTGGATCACTTTGAAGAACTATTTGATCAAGTGATATCAGAAATAGAATGATTTCTTGGTAACTTGATGGATTCAACAATATCAATAATAGGATGATATATGTAAATAAATACAGCAACAAAATGGTGGCTGACCACTTGTATACAAGTATGTCTGTCTACTAGGATGGCTAGCTAATCCCTGTTCCAGATGCCTGCTCAGACACATTTATGTTTGTTTTTTTTGGAGAAAAGCCCATGCTTTTGTTTTATACTGCAACTATACTGAGCAGACCTTTGTTACCGTTTCTGGGAGAAAACACATTATCTGGCATGATCAACAGTCTGAACAAGGCTAGTACACTCAAACTCTCAGTCATGACAACTTGTAAATTAGTGTTAACACAACCATCAACAGTTGCCAAATAGTTCTGTCTACCCAATTTCACTCACAAGGCTTAGGTCAGCCCATTGTATGGATTTCAGGTACTTTCCAAATGTGCAACATGATGGGATCCCACCTCACCATCCAAGGCTGATAATAGTCATCTTCCTGATTAATCAACCATGATGAGATTCAAACTTAGGTCTCATGGTCGGAAAGCAAACATTCTAACCATTTGGATACACACAACAAAATAATGAGCGTCAGAATATAAAGTAAGTGCTGGATCATCTAATTTGGGCAAACTTATTCTATAAGGACTTTGGAAAATGATGGTCATCATTGTAAGAATCAGATGTAAGCAAAATAATTATTCTTTGGTATACCATTTCAATTATCAAATGCAAAGAATAAAGAAAAAATTATTTATAGATCATGCATTATACAAGATGCAGTTTTTTTTGTTTGGAGCGGGGTCACATTTCTTTTGCAAAGCATAAAACAATATTCCTACTTAAGATGTTTTTAGTAATTAAATGCTTTCAAAACTGCTTGAATACATGCTTCATAAGAGTTTTTTTTTCACATCCTTGCTTGATCTTGTTCTAACCTCTTCCAAATATTTTAAAAAGCATTAAAACCTCTTCTAATAAGAAAACTGACATTGCTATAAGCATGCCAATTATTTTTAGGCTACAAAGGTTCATTATGAAAGATTCAGATAGGTAGCAAACCAAAGCACAAACCAGTTAGTTTGGTAAAGAGTAATTTCACAATAAGTCAATCTGCTAAATAGCGTCATCATCACAGACACCCAAACTTTAAATCAAAACAGCAATTATGCATCACAAATCAATCAAGCAGAGGTAGCAATTCTCATTGGGATGCATACAAAAATGAAAAGTGGCCAACAAGACATAAGCAATTACATGAAATGGTAATTAATAAGCATAAAGATGAAAATAAAAAAAAATTGTTTATTTTACATTCAGTGATGAATATTAATCACATAGATTAAACTATATAGAGTGAAAATTTAAATTCAAAATTAACCTAACCAGTTAAACTTATTGATGCATTCTCATGGATATTTCTTATTTCTCTGAACATTATTTTAGTGGATAAACATGTTTGAGTAGACGCCTGGATTATTTTTTCTTTATTAAAAAAAAAAAAAAAAAAAAGTGGTTTAAATTATATCTCCCAGTTTATGTATTGAAGAGACTTAATATAGAAAATGTGTTTTCTAATAAGTACATTTTCTTTATTAAAGTCTCTCAAATGTGGAGGCTGTTAGACGAAAAAAATCAGGATGTCTACCCAAACACGTGTATCTGCTAAAATAATATTTAGAGTAATAAGAAATAATGTCAGATTAAAAATAAAATTCATTAATTCCTTAAAAATTATATACATGTATGTGTGTGTGTATTATATATATATATATATATATATATATATATATATATACACACACACACACATATATATATACACACACACACACGTACATACACTTTGTATTTAAGCAGCAAATGTTCTTTAAGGCAAATACTATTGAAAATGAAAAAAACCTTTATGCTGATTAATTTTGATGATTGCCTTTCCCAAATTACAAATAATCCTTCTCAAACAAGGAGGAAATTCTACCAAGAATTGTCCAAAGTTTATTTCAGAAGAAAAGGTAAACTTAATATGGTCCAAGCTTTCCCCAATGATGACTTTAAGAAGTCAAAAGCTTGAACCATATTATTTTTCCTTTCTCTTCCAAAACGAACTTTGGACAATTCTTAACAGAATTTCCTATTTGTTTGAGAAGGATTATTCATAAGTTGGAAAAGGCAATCATTGAATATAACCAACATAAAATTTCTGTTGTTTTATATATATATATCTCATAATAATCCTGGAATACTTTGGGAGTTACTTCTATCTTCTTATGTATATCAGCAAATTAACAAAGCATATATGAAGAAATTAATTTGGTCAGATACATTGGCCAATCGAAATAGCTAAATAAGAAAAAATAAATAAACCAGTTGAGTAAATTCAAGTTCAAATATCATATTAGAAGTAATAATTAAATAAAAAGAATAACACTGACTTATACATTGAATAAATGATAATGTTGAACACATTCAACAGAACCAAAAGCAAATAATATCATCCATCCATTTAAAGTCTAATAGATTATGATCCACACATAATTCTATAATTCTACAAAGTGCTGAAAAATTCTCAGCCTGACTCACTTCACAGAAATCTGGTCAAATAACAATAAGTCAATCATCTTTTTTTTTGGAGAAGAGGTTCTTCGTTGAGCTAAGAACTGTTCTACACCTCCTTGTATATAAGAAATTAGAAAGCAAAAACATTGAAAAAAATCTGTGAAGAATTTGGCAAGCAGGAAGAAGGAATAACAGAACCAAGAAAAAAAAATAACTTAAGCACATAATTCTTGTTGCCCTGTGTCAAACTAAGTTTAACTTAGTAAATATCCATGGAAGTATAACACTTATTAATGTGAGATAAGATAGGACTTTTTTCTTTTAAGAAACAAATTGGGAAACAATTCAGAAAACAAAACTCCATCAATATTGTAAAAATCAATAACAGCTACAGGACTTGAGAAACCTATTTTCTCAAAAAAAATGTTTTAATAGAAAAGATTTTATATATTTAATTTCCACTGACAATGATACTAGTTGCTCAGTCAATGAACACTGAATGTTTCCTTATAAGGAAATGGCTAATATTAGCATTATCATATAGACATAATTCTGAATAATCTAAGATAGAATGTAACAGCCTTTTTTTCTATTATTTAAAAATATAATGAGGGAGAAAAGAAGAAATATGCTTGTTCTTTAAAAGGTAAAATTTGACTGGAGATACCCAGCTATAAAGTGATATATTATATCTACTTTATATAATGGAATAATATAATGATATAGCAGCTTTATATATATATATATATATATATACAGGTATAATATATTATACTGACATATGATAGCGACTTTATATATTGGCATAATATAGAGATATATGTCAGATTTTCATAAAATTGTTCTTCATATATAAATCATTTTTCCCATAGTGATATATTATTGTTATTTTATATAGTGGCCTTTTTCTATGATTTAAAAAGATAAAGAATGAAAGAAAAATCTTTTTTCTGAAAGGTAGATTCAATTAAGGACATCCAGCTATGCTGAGAATACCATGGACTGAACATGTGAACAATAAAGTTTTATAAAAAATAGAAACAAAAAGGACCTTAATACTTAACATCAGAAAGAGATAGTTGAAAATTCTAGGGCACATAATGAGAAAAGAGGGCTTGGAAAATTTGTCATTCATAGAACATTAAAAGCAAGATTAACAGAGGAAAATAGTGCATAACCTACCCAATAAGCTTGTGCAAATGGATGGCAGAACAGGGTTTAGGATAGATAACAAAAATGACACATTTCACTAAGAGCTACAAAGGAAGGAAATTATGGAGAGCCATGATTGCAAACATCATGAAGAGACATGGTCCAGAGAAGATGTTAGTCAAAATTCAATTACAATTTATTTTTTTAAAATAATTATCACAATGCAACAAAAAAGCAATGCTTTGTTTTGCAAATATGAAGTATTCTCTCTCAAAAAGTGAAAATTAAAGAAAATCTAAAATTTAATCAAGCTACACATGCAACAATCGACAGAAATCAAAAATGCCAAATTCATCAAATGCTTTTCAGAAAACAGATACAGAGGAATGGCAAAAAATATACATACAGCAAAAATGTTACTTGAATACACACAAAAGAAAAATATGCTGCTTTACTAAAAAAAAAAAACAAAACACTGCAAACCAATAATACAAATGATATCATTAACAACTGAGACCATTAACAAATAATCATCTAAAATCTACACACAGTAATTTATTTTGCTAAAGGATCAATTGAAGAGCATATAGTGTGAATCAAATATTACAGCTTTAAAAACAGACATAGTAAAAAAAAAAAAAAATATATATATATTAATGTATAAGACAAACAAATATATTAAAACAAAGGGAAGAAAAGCAAGGAAAAAAATATTCACCATAAAATGCTAAATTGAAAAAAAAAAGCTAACCAGTTATTGTTCCTCATTTTTCAGAGCTCAATCAAGGACAAAAAGTTTATAAATTTGTGTATAATGACTAAAATACACTTAGGAGAAGGAATTGCCACAGACAGAAAATCTAATCTTAGCAGCCCTCCCTCAATGTTATCCGTTTGAGATTCATATTGCTGTCTCTTGCAATTTTTCTCCTAATTATATTCTAGTCATTGTGCACAAATTTATGAGGTTTCTTTGTCTTTGATTGAACTCTGAAGAGTGAGGAATTATAACCAGGTACTTTCTGTTTGTCTCATTTATTTTTTTAATGTAATTTTTTGATTTACAATTTTATGGTAAATATTTTTTCCTTGTTCTTTTGCTTGTTTAATATATTTATACGTCTTATACATCAATATACACTTTTTGAATATATCTATTTTGAAAGCTATAACAACATTCTATACTCTCCATAAATTACTTGAATCAGCAATATTGTAAGTTATGTTAGAATTTCTGAGATGAAGAACTGTCACTATCATATATGCCTTTTAGTTCAAACTAGAAAGCTCATCTTGGCTATTCTTTTTGATTTCAGAATTTTTAACAAAACCCTTTATTTAATCAATAGGATAGATTGTTCTCATTCTGCTTTCTATGATTAAGGGATATCTTTTATCAGTTTCTAGTCTATTTGTTATTGTGCCATTTGTTCGTTTCAACCAGAGTATACAAATTTTCCACACAAACTAAACCAGGGATTGAACTAACAACAATTAGAAAACTAGTAATTTTGTGTCATTTTGGAGACTTGAACCTAATGTCTGTACTTAGACAATGAAATAAACAGTATCCTTTCTTTCTTAATCAGTCTCCAAGGTGGAAATAATATCTATGCATGGTTTAACTTGGAATCAGGCATGGCTGATCATGTATAGAGGGGAAGTGCTGTTCATCAAATTCTAAGATAATAGAGAACAACATTGGAAGATAAGACAACTGAAAGAATCAGCATATATGTTAGGCTATGATAATGTCCTCAGCAAGCCTAAGTATGAAAGGCAAAATGAAATCAATCTAACATAGCAGACTGAATAAAGGGTTCAATTCAAAATTCTGAGGAGATAACCAAGTATAACAGAAAGCTGAAGAAGGTTAGAGAATACCACAGCCAAAAAGTTATGAGCATATCAACCAAAATATCCAAATCAAAAGGCATATACAATGATGTTGTATTGAAGCAAATTTGCTTAAGAAGATGCTGTCATATCATTTACTCAAAAATGACAGGTGTCAGCTTGATAAGCAATCAGGAAACTGTAGACAAAAGAAGAGAAGGCTGGGGAGATCCCACATTTGACAGCATCCTCCCTCTATGCAACAAGAGAAAAACAATTTCTAGTGTCCCAGTTGTTAATAAAGAATTTTATTTTGGGATACCTTCTATAAATTTGTGTCAAACAATATCTTATTTTAGAACATAACAATATCACATGATATTTATTAATGAAATATAACTAAGTTAACTTTATAAAATGCTTTAGTAGCTAAAAACGCATACCTTAATTCTATTACACTAAAAATACATCATGGCATTCCTTGATGACTGTGCTTAAATCTAAACATTTTTTTTTTTTTTTTTAGTGAGAGAGAAGTTTTATAGATATCAAATAATTATTCAATGTCATTTCTAAAAAT